TGGAGATATTTTCTTCCCAGTCACTTCCTTTACCTTAGTTGGAGCAATGGCATCTATAACATTTTTAATTTTTGAATTAAAATGATCTACTAGCTCATTTACTGAGATGTTAGCAGGGGCAAGTGTGGAAGAAAAATTCTGAGTAAACATTTCCCTAGTATTTTCAGTTAAATATCGCTTACTGATAAATTATTACTGATATGTGCTGGGTCCAGGCTCAAGGGCGTATGGCACTCTCAACTCTTTCCAGGACATGTCGGGGCCCTGCCTGCCAGTAGCTTTGCCGATATCTGTGTTGATAGGTAATAGATTAAGAGCGGTGAATCATAGAAACAGGAAGCGCTCAAACGTTTGTGTGAGTTTATCTAATTTAGCAGTGATTCCATGTCAGCCACAGCTTGTTACAAAAAACATGACTGATAGTGTGTTTAACAAACTTAAACTAGCTTTATTAAATGTCAGGTCTTTGGCAGGAAAAACATTTTTAATCAATGATTTTATCACTGAGCACAATCTCGATTTTATGTTTTTAACAGAAACTTGGATTGAACAGAATAACAGTGCAGCTGTTCTTATCGAATCAACCCCTCCCAACTTTAGTTTTATGAGTCAGGAAAGAATGCATAAGAAAGGGGGTGGAGTTGCTATTCTGTTCAATGATTCCCTTCAATGCAGGAAGACATCGTATGGAAACTTTGATTCTTTTGAATATGTGGCCCTTTAGCTGAAATGCTCCTCTCGAGCTCTGTTCCTAAATATCTATAGACCACCCAAATACTGTGCAAGCTTTTTTGATGACTTTACTGAACTGCTGTCTATAGTGTGTATTGACTTTGACCGTCTAGTCATTGTTGGTGATTTTAACATCCATGTTGACAACCCCCAGGACAGAGGGGCTAAAGAACTGTTTTGTGTTCTTGATAGCTATGGACTGACTCAGCATGTGACGGAGCCCACGCACAATAAGGGGCACACTCTGGACTTAATTATCTCAAAGGGTCCTAATATCTCTAAGGTTGTGGTGACTGATGTTGCACTCTCTGATCATTCCTGTGTTTTCTTTGAGAGCTCTATTTCTGTTCACAAAAATGTTCAAAAAGAGGTAACCACAAAGCGATATTTAACTGAAAATACTAGGGAAATGTTTACTCAGAATTTTTCTTCCACACTTGCCCCTGCTAACATCTCAGTAAATGAGCTAGTAGATCATTTTAATTCAAAAATTAAAAATGTTATAGATGCCATTGCTCCAACTAAGGTAAAGGAAGTGACTGGGAAGAAAATATCTCCATGGAGAAAGGCCATGACCGTGAAAACAGAAAAAAGAGAATGTCGAAAAGCTGAACGTAGGTGGCGAAAAACAAAACTCCAGGTTCACTTTGAAATCTATAAAGAGAGACTTGGCCTTTATAAATTGGAATTAAAAAACGCACGACAGTCGTTCTTCTCTGACATCATTACCAAAAACAAAAACAACGCACGTGCCTTGTTTGCTACCGTCGACAGACTAACTAACCCCCCAGTGTTAGTAGCCTCTGAATTTCTATCCACCAGGGCGTGCAATGAATTTGCCTTTTTCACTGACAACATTCAGAAAATCAGACAAGCAGTCAGTGCCTCTGCATCAGGAACAGCAAATGTGTTGTCTCTGTGTCCACCTAATATCAATTCAAACACCATGACACAATTCCATCAGATTAATGATAAAAACCTAGAGGACATTATACAACTTCTGAAATCCTCCTCCTGCTGCCTTGATATTATTCCAACAGGATTTTTTAAAGATGTTTTGCCTTGCATGGCCTCAGATCTACTTCATATAGTAAACAAATCTCTTCACTCAGGTATTTTTCCACAGGCCCTGAAAACTGCAGTCATTAAACCGCTCTTAAAAAATAATAATCTAGATGCTTCAGTAATGAACAATTACAGGCCCATATCAAACCTCCCATTTCTAGGTAAAATCATTGAAAAAGTTGTTTTTCAACAGTTGAGTAATTTCTTGCATTTAAATAACTGTTTCGATGTGTTCCAGTCAGGCTTTCGTCCAAACCACAGCACTGAGACTGCTCTTGTAAAGGTCTTTAATGACATCCACTTAAACACAGACAGTGGCAGAACTTCAGTGTTAGTATTATTAGATCTCAGTGCTGCGTTTGACACTGTTGACCACAGCATATTACTAGACCGACTGGGAAACTGGGTGGGACTTTCGGAAACAGTTCTGAATTGGTTTGAATCCTACTTAAAGGACAGAAACAACTTTGTTTCTATAGGTAAATACACATCTGAGTTGACAAATATGACATGTGGGGTACCTCAAGGCTCCATCTTGGGGCCTCTTCTCTTTAACATCTACATGCTACCACTGGCTCAGATAATGAAAAACAACAAAATAAGTTACCATAGCTATGCAGATGACACACAAATGTACGTAACAATTTCACCAGGAGACTATGCTCCAATTCAAACACTGAGTAAGTGCATTGAACAAATCAATGACTGGATGTGTCAGAACTTTCTTCAATTAAACAAAGATAAAACTAAGGTAATGGTTTTTGGAGCCAAGGCAAAATGTATAAAAGTTAGCACTGAGCTTCAGTCTGCAATGTTCAAAACAACAGATAAAGCCAGAAATCTAGGTGTAGTCATGGACTCTGACCTGAGTTTCAACAGTCACATTAAAACAGTTACTAAATCAGCCTACTATCACCTAAAGAATATATCTAGGATTAAAAGACTAATGTCACAGCAGGATTTGGAAAAACTTGTCCATGCTTTTATCTTCAGTAGACTCGACTACTGTAATGGTGTCTTCACAGGTCTCACTAAAAAATCTATTAGAAAGCTGCAGCTGATTCAGAACACCGCTGCTCGAGTCCTCACTAACACTAAGAAAGTGGATCACATCACTCCTGTTCTGAAGTCTTTACACTGGCTTCCTGTGTGTCAAAGAATAGATTTCAAAATACTGCTGCTGGTTTATAAAGCACTGAATGGTTTAGGCCCAAAATACATTTCTGACCTCCTGCTAAATTATGAACCATCCAGATCTCTCAGGTCTTCAGGGACTGGTCAGCTTTCTGTCCCCAGAGTCAGAACTAAACATGGAGAAGCAGCGTTCAGTTATTATGCTCCAAATATCTGGAAGAAACTCCCAGAAACCTGCAGGTCTGCTGCAACTCTGACTACTTTTAAATCCAGCAAGAAGACTTTTCTTTTTGTCGCTGCTTTTAATTGAACTATTCATATCTTAGACTGCACTGTAACTTTGATCCATGTACTTTTTCTTTTAATGTTTATTTTATTAGCTTTTCTTTTTAATGACTGATTTTAAATGCCATTTTCTTAATGTCTTTCATATTTTGTAAAGCACTTTGAATTGCCTTGTGTTGAAAAGTGCTATATAAATAAACTTGCCTTGCCTTGCCTTGCTTTGTGGTAACCTCTTTTTGAACATTTTTGTGAACAGAAATAGAGCTCTCAAAGAAAACACAGGAATGATCAGAGAGTGCAACATCAGTCACCACAACCTTAGAGATATTCAGACCCTTTGAGATAATTAAGTCCAGAGTGTGCCCCTTATTGTGCGTGGGCTCCGTCACATGCTGAGTCAGTCCATAGTTATCAAGAACACAAAACAGTTCTTTAGCCCCTCTGTCCTGGGGGTTGTCAACATGGATGTTAAAATCACCAACAATGACTAGACGGTCAAAGTCAATACACACTATAGACAGCAGTTCAGTAAAGTCATAAAAAAAGCTTGCACAGTATTTGGGTGGTCTATAGCAGGGCTGCACATAACTGGTGCGCAGGTGCGCATGCGCACCTCCGCCAAAAAAAGAGCACCGTGTCATTTGAAAAAAGGCGCATTTGCGTACCAACATTGAGAGAGAGAGGGAGAGAGAGAAGAGAGAGAAAAGAGAAAAGAGAGAAGAGAGAAGAGAGAAAAGAGAAGAGAGAGAAATATATTTGCGAGTTGCATATGAACTCAGAGCCGGCCCGTAGCGATGGCGTAATAGATGCTCGCCTAGGGCGCCAGATCTGTGGAGGCGCTGCGCTGACAGCTCTGGGAGGGAAAAAAACATTTTTGACCGTTGGTGCTCATCCTAATTTTCGGCCTTGATGTAACAATATTCATAATTAAGTAAATGTAACACCCTTTTCACCCCGTTTACACGTTTCATTTGCCCTGTACAATGGGCGCTGTAAGTGATGAAAGTGGGGGATGTTGGCTTATCTGGCAACCGCAGCTCACAGCCAAAATGCGAGTGAGCGTGGGAGAGAGGGAGGGTGCACCGGTACCGGCGCTGTTGTTATTAGAATCTGGTGCTAGCTGCTCTAACGGATATAAGAAGAAGATGTTTCTACAATAATGTGGAGGGAAAGTCCTCTCCAGTCAGACTGAGAGGCTGATAACTACAGCTCAGTGAGGTAAAGACTCTGAGTGTTTAGATAGTTCACTTTAGTCTAAGTTCAAACGGTTTGGTCACAATTTATGTAAACACATATTTCCAAGGCACTCCTTTATAATTATTGGGATAAACAGGTTTGAAATCATTCCAATGTATACTATAGGACAGTAACCAAAAATATCCTTTAAAACTGGAGAGATACAAAAAAAAAACATAAATAAATGTTGAGGTAAAATATACGGTGGCCGGCAGGTGCAAACGCTAAACAACGGCCAAAAACACACACATAAGCAGGAAACACCTGCAAATAATGAAATGAAAAACCAACAAACCCTGAAAACACATACAACAGAAAAACGCTGCATTTACAGAAATGATGCAAACTAAACCTACAACAGACAAACCCTGAAAACAAACGCAACAGAAAAACGCTGCAAATACAAAAACGATATGCAAAGTCAAAAGCACATACAATCGAATAACACGTTACAAAAAAAAAGACATTACAAAAAAAAAACATTCCGGAAGTGCTTCAGGCCTCTAGGGGGCGCGCTACGTGGAACAGATTGATGTATGACCAGACATAGAGAGAACGAACAAGAGGAAAGAAAGTTCATTTAAGTGGAGAAAGATATAAGAAGGTAAGTTTTGTTTTGTTTTTATACATAGAGCGTCATATTTACGTAGCTAGCGTTAGCGTGTTTGATCAAAGAGCTTGCAAGAGCCATTGTGCACCTAAATGTAACTCTTGACATAATATAGATATAGTATAGAACCGGGACGCCCCTCCCTACACGCAGATCACAGACTGGGTGGGGTCTCACGCCCTCACCTCGTGGATGGGACCTCAACTGAGCCGCAAATGCGATGCGGTGATAAAAAGGAAATCAAATGTAAAAAGTTGAATTAAAATATTAAAACAGCAACACAACATTATTCCCACATTAAAAGACAGTCTGAAGAGGTGTGTTTTGAAGGTGGGGGGGTCGGTGCAGTCTCTGATGTTTAATGGGAGTGAGTTCCAGAGGGAGGGGGCAGCGATGGAGAAAGCGCTGTCCCCCCAGGTTCGGTGGTTGGTTTGTGGGGGGGATAGACAGGAGGTTGGCTTCTGATGAGTTAATTGAAAGACCGTTCTTTAATACTATTATAATATTTAGGTAGCTGAAAAATATCCACTCTTTTTGACTTAACCTAGCTGTCCTACATTTTATTTCTCCACAGATGTACTGTCCATTCTGTGGTTCCAGCGTGACATCTTCGCATGGCTTTTGTGGTGTCTGTGGCAGAGACATCACATTTCTAAAAGATGTGGCTAACAAAGTCCCTGCGGAGATGCCCACCACTAGTGCGCATCTAAGTGCACAGCCTAGCACCAGTGCAGGTAAATAGGTTGTTCGTTTTATTACCAAACAATAAGTATTTATAGAAAACTTGGTTTAAAAGTTCGAATTCTGTTATTATACAAATACATCTCTAAACTATGTGGCTTACCTACTGTTGAATGTGTTATAAGATGTTCCTCAAAAGGGATTGAGGATGAGACTCCTATTGAACATAATGAAGAGTAATGAATGTTTTATTCCTGTTTTTTTGTAGCAGGAAGCTCAGCTGTAGAGTCCTTTCAGAAATATAGGGAAATAAAAAAGAGGGAGAGACCTTTTTTACAAAGGGACGGCATAACTCCAAAAATAAACAGAAATTGGTGAAGGTATGCAACGTTTTCTGTTATGAATACATCTGTCATTCAAATCTGCTCACCACACTCTCATATAATGTCCGAAAAAATGTTTTATTCATTTGCATATTATTGTCTTTTTGCAGATTTCTGTTGGAGTAATGAGGAGGATGGATGGCTGCCTTAAACCTTTGAGAGGGAGGTCACTTCCCCTTAATGTCGAACCTCAATGGGCATGTGAAGAACTGTTGGCTGCTGCCATAAAAAAGCAGAAAGCCTTTAACCAGGACTTGGAAGATGGTGCCCATGTCTTGTTGTACCCTGATGCGAGGGTGATAACAAATATCCCCGGAACGGACACCCCTTTCACAGTACAGATGTACAAAGAGGCCATTCCCATATATTCCCCCTTGTTTAAAGCACTAAACTGTATAATAGTTCAAATGTAAACATAACAGTTGTTCTGTCTATATTTCTTAACACAATTCATTCCACCCATCATTCCTTTCTCTTCGTGGTTGAACTTATGACGTCAAATGGTCTTTTATGAATAGTGGCAGAAGAATGGAATTTAAGTATCAACAAAAGCTTCCAAACTTTCCTTCTGTTCAAACTGTTATAAATTCCCTCTTAAGGATTGTAATTCTAAATTAACCTTTTTTCTCACAACAATGTTGGTTTGTTGTGCCCTAAATCCTAATGTGAGAGTGAAAAAGACGGTCAACAATATAATGTACATTTCACAAACATTTTGTGTTTCGATTGAATCCTTTCTGATTGATGTCAATCCAATAATTCAGGATTCAAACCAACATTTGATGATAGGTACAGACGTAGGGGAACAATTATTTGTATAGTATTAATCATGACACTTTTATTTTCTTAGGTTACACTGGAACAACCTCTTCAAGTGACGAGGACAGTGTGGTTTTTGCAAAGTTGCCATCTGGAGACAGTCTTGCTGACACCGTGGTCAGTTTGGATCTATCGTGGCATTTATTCTTAATTAAAGTGAATTTATTTTATTTCAGTCAGTCATTTGTGTGTTGTATGCAGGTGTGGGACTTTCCAAATGAACAGAGCACTCCCAGAATGGACAACAGTTTGCCAGGGTCAAATAAAACATTGTCAACATGTTATTTTGTGCCACAAGAAGCAGAATGTTTTAACAGTACAGTAGTACCTTTATCAGACCTCTCAGGCACCCACAACCAGCGTCTGATCGGGTAAGACTAATTCAAAATGTAATTATACCATGTAGGTTTGAATTTGTGAACATGAAATCAATAAATACCTTTGTGTGCTAATGACACTGTCATTAGATCAACTGCATCATTATTTATTGGGTAAAAGTAGGATGGAGAACCAACCCCATTCCAGGAAGAGGTCCAGTCTGCCCCGGGTCAGAACACCTTCTATAGGTAAACGATGTTGACAGTTGCATCGTGACACAGTTGTTTGGTGTGTATTTTTATTTGTACATTTGGTTGTTTGCATAGCCTCCAATCACAGTGGGTAATATTGCCAGGAAGCAGAACAATTATACTTTCATACATTTCCAAAGGACACCCACAACATCTTAGTGAACATGATACAAAAAACACCCACAAATATTTGTCAAAGGTCAGATATTGTTTGTTGCATCCATTTCAAATGTTTACAAGGATTGTGCAGGAGTATGACAAAGTGCTGTTGTCAGTTTAGAACCCAATGTATTAAAAAAAAACAGGAAGAGGATTGACATCCTTTTGCAAATATGACTGTCATGCATATATTATGTATTTGAAAGTCATTATTCAACTGTCTTCTCACTGCAGCAACTACACAACTGTGTATGCACTTATCATTATTGACAGCCAGTCTGAGCCAGAAGAGGAAACGGAGCAAACTGCAGAGGAAATGTATTAAATGTTACTTTTATCACTTGATTTTTTTATTCTATACTGTAAATCTTATTATAGCTTCATCATTTAATATTACAATACATCACTTTGTCTTTCCCAGCACAGAATACCTGACTGCGCCAGACATTGTTGCAGAACTCTCTGCAAAAATTAAAAATGCCTCTTGCAGCAGGTTCAATATTAATAGAGCCAATGTGTGGGATGGAGCAATCCGCGGCTTCAAACGGGCCTCATTCGACCCCTCTCATTAGATGCAGGTTAAGTTTACTGATGATGAGGGACAAACTGAGGATGGAGTGGACACTGGTGGTCCCAAGCGTGAGTTCCTGACCCTCCTAATGGAATGCCTGAGAATGAGAAGAATATTTGATGGTCCACAGGACAGGAAATTCCTCAAGTTCGACAATGCAGGTAATGATGTTCGCAAATCTGTCTTATGTTCAATACTGTACTGTAAATATAGGAGCTGCTTATGGATTTTGCAGCTTGATTTACGTGACAATTACATTATCTTATACTGTATATCTTTATGATAACGTGGCAACTGTTGGTTAACGTGATAATAATTTAACAAAAAATATCAACAGCTGCAAAAGATGACGAATACTTTCATGCTGGGAGGATGATTGCAACTTCTATAGTTCAAAAACACAAGGAGAAAAAGAAGAAAACATGTCATGGCTCACTGTCTTAAAATCTGATTCTAAATGTATAATGTTCTTTATAAAGATATAACTAATACACAATTATGAATGTATAATATAAGCTGTTTTGTGTATTTAATCATGCGTTGGTCTACAATTTAATGATGGCTTCTACATATTTCACATAAACAGACAATGAAAAAATGTGTCCTTCATGCTGATAACTAGTGTATGCATCTGCCAATTAGCATTCTAAACAGAGCAGTGTGTTGAATCCTTATTTCTTGCATTTGAAACAGATACAATACAAAAAGTGAACTTACTGTTGTGTTCAACTTCTGCCACAAACTGTACATGTTTGCCACAGGAGCCACAGAGCACTTGAACTGTCCCCAGATGTTGGCCACAGAAAGGACAAAACATGGCAGCCTGAAAAGACATACATTGATGTAGTAAATCCATTTAATCAAGTTAATCAAAAACACATAGTCTAAATAGTGGTTAGCTAAATAAATAGATACATCATGTTCACCGTTGAATCTGTGATTTGTCTCTCTCTCTCCTTGAATGTCTAATGCACACTACTATCCTGTCATTACTTTGTCCCTCTTCACATTTTGTCACTTTCTCTCTCTCTTTCTCTCTCAATTCAATAGCTTTATTAGCATGACCATAGTTACAGGCAATTGCTAAAGCTCTGTATAGTTGCAACATCTATACACAAATACATAAATATAAACAAACTGCTAAGAATTCAAATGTCCTTTTTCCGCGGTACTCACTATGGCCCGTGTTATTTGCCTGCACTTGATTTGTCATCTCTTTACAATGTTCTTCCCTCACTTTCTCTTCTCTTCACGTGAAGCTCTCCTCCCTCAGCTGGTGTAGTAGTTAGGCACGCTAACGCTAGCTATATAAATATGACGCTCTATGTATAAAAAAACAAAACTTACCTTCTTATATCTTTCTCCACTTAAATGAACTTTCTTTCCTCTTGTTCGTTCTCTCTATGTCTGGTCATACATCGATCTGTTCCACGTAGCGCGCCCCCTAGAGGCCTGAAGCACTTCCGGAATGTTTTTTTTTTGTAATGTCTTTTTTTTTGTAATGTGTTTTTCGGTTGTATGTGCTTTTGACTTTGCATATCGTTTTTGTATTTGCAGCGTTTTTCTGTTGCGTTTGTTTTCGGGGTTTGTGTGTTGTAGGTTTAGCTTGCATCATTTCTGTAAATGCAGCGTTTTTCTGTTGTATGTGTTTTCAGGGTTTGTTGGTTTTTCATTTCATTATTTGCAGGTGTTTCCTGCTTATGTGTGTGTTTTTGGCCGTTGTTTAGTGTTTGCACCTGCCGGCCACCGTAAAAATAAGATATGAATGAACAACATAAATAAAATAAGTTACATTCATTTGTTATTGGCTATGGTAGGTTATTGGTTATGTTCACATACTTATTTGATTACATCCACTTGTCTAAGATGACAACAGAGACTTTCGACCCAAACCCAGCTGTTGACTTGTGGATGCAAGCAGCTAATCGCAGACTCAACCAGAGAGAAAGAAGTAGGCCTACATCATCAGCTACCATGTCTGACAGAGAGGAAGACAGTGAGGAGAACAGTCAGGAGGGTAGTGATGACAGCTTGTAGGATTACTGGTCGTGCTAATGTTGTCTTGTGTTCACCTCTGCATGTGTGTTCTGTGTTCACCTCTGCACGTGTGTTCAGTGCCGTGTGTCTGGCAAATAAAGTCAAGACCCCTCAAAAGCTACAGTTTATTTCATTTTAAGGATGAGCACCAAGCAACATCTCCAGGTGCTCCTTTGAGAACCAGGGCAAAAAAGTTATGTGCACCCCTGGTCTATAGATATTTAGGAACAGAGCTCGAGAGGAGCATTTCAGCCGAAGGGCCACATGTTCAAAAGAAGCAAAGTTCCCATAAGATGTCTTCCTGCATTGAATGGAATCATTGAACAAAATAGCAACTCCACCCCCTTTCTTATGCATTCTTTCCTGACTCATAAAACTAAAGTTGGGAGGGGTTGATTCAATAAGAACAGCTGCACTGTTATTTTGTTCAATCCAAGTTTCCGTTAAAAACATAAAATCAAGATTGTCAGTGATAAAATAAATGTTTTTCCTGCCAGAGACCTGACATTTAATAAAGCTAGTTTAAGTTTGTTAGATACACTATCAGTAAGATTTTTTGTGACAAGCTGTGGCTGACATGGAATCACTGCTAAATTTGATAAACTCACTTTCATTTAATTTAATTTCAAACCTTTATTTATACAGATAAATCCCATTGAGATCATTGATCTCTTTTTCAAGGGAGACCTGCTCAAGTAGTTCCACATGAAACATAAAAACATAAATAGAACAACAAAAGGACATCATACAGCATTATTTACATAATTATCCACATAAACAGGTACCTATAGCTTCCGATTGACTAGCATCCAACCGAGCTTTAAAAACATTTAGTGGCACCAGATTGTTCAGTTTCCATTTAATTTTCAGACTATTCCAAGACAGAGGAGCTGCGCATCTAAAAGCTGTCTTCCCTAAGACAGTCCTAGCAGTTGGCACATTTAATAAAACCACAGCATTCGATCTCAGGCAGTAGCCACTTACAATTTTCCGTGAGATCAGGGAGCAGATATAAGATGGAAGTTTCCCTAACATGGCTTTGTATATAAAAATGTACCAGTGACTGAGCCTCCGTACAGTTAGTGAAAGCAAACCAGCCCTTGCATACAGGGTACAGTGATGGGTTAATGCTTTACAGTTTGTCACAAATCTTAGTGCACTGTGATACGCAGCATCTAACTTGACCAGGCAATTGGCAGGTGCATTCATATACAACAAATCACCATAGTCCAGCATAGGTGAAAAGGTCACAGTGACTAGCCTTTTCCTGGCCTCAAGCGAGAAACAGGACTTGTTCCTCACACAAACATTTGAGCACTTCCTGTTTCTAAGCTGATTCACCGCTCTTAATCTATTACCTATCAACACAGATATCGGCAAAGCTACTGGCAGGCAGGGCCCTGGCATGTCCTGGAAAGAGTTGAGAGTGCCATACGCCCTTGAGCCTGGACCCAGCACATATCAGTAAGAGTTTGTTGCGTTTGTACACACACATCCTTATCAGGCTTCGGAGACTGCAGATGCTTTCTTGAAGGGAGGGGAGGTGGTTGACGTAGGCACGGTGATGGAGACGGGGGAGATGGTGCGGGGGTAAAGGACATGCTGCCAGGGGGGGGGGGGTGGTTGACGTAGGCACGGTGATGAAGACGGGGGAGATGGTGCGGGGGTAGAGGTCATGCTGCCAGGGGGGGAGGTGGTTGATGTAGGCACGGTGATGGAGACGGGGGAGATGGTGCGGGGGTAGAGGACATGCTGCCAGGGGGGGAGGTGGTTGACGTAGGCACGGTGATGAAGACGGGGGAGATGGTGCGGGGGTAGAGGACATGCTGCCAAGGGGGGAGGTGGTTGACGTAGGCACGGTGATGAAGACGGGGGAGATGGTGCGCGTCTCTGCGGTGATTTTGGTGGGCGTCGTTGAGGAGCGGGGGTAAAGGACATGCTGCCAACCCTGCGTATCGCCTTAGTTTGGTCTTTGAACTCCAGGAAGGAATCGGTGCCAACCCTCTGTATCTCCTTCGTGTGTTCAGCGATCTCCAGGAGGGTGGGCGAGGGTGAAAGGGTTAACGGAGAGTAGAGAGAGCTGTGGGGTGAAGGAAGAGTTTCCTCAGAGGTGATAGGGGGGGTGAAGGGCGCTGGAGACTCCTCCATTTGTCTCCCATAATCAAGACATTCCTCAGGCGGGTGCAGTGATAGATTTTCAAGGTTTTCTGAGCGATGTGTTGTGTCTTTCTCTTGTTTTGATTCCTCTTGTTGCTTGTCCTTGGCAGAGGGAACAGATTGATGACGTAGGCAGTTGAATACGTTAGAGATAAACAATTTCACTCCTGACTTGTTCAGACAAACTCCATTTGCCTTAAAAAGATGTCTGCGGTCCCAGAAAAAGTTAAAGTTGTCAATATAATTGACAGAATGGTCAATACAGACAGTTGAAAGCCAGGTATTCAGTGCAAACAATCTGCTGAATCTCTCCACTCCTCTTCTGACTGGCGGTAGAGGGCCACTGATGAACACCTCGGCATTTAGAGAGCTGACAGTTTCCAACAGACATTTAAAGTCTTCTTTCAGCACTTCTGACTGTTGTTTCACAACATCATTTGTTCCAATGTGCAGTACCACATTGTTCACAGTCGGATGTTCAGCCCCAATATGCAGGATCTTCTCAGCCAAGTCAGAGACCACATCCTTGGGAAAACAGAGTACTTTGGTGTTGTTCTTACTACACAGACCTTTTACATCTCTTACAGCAGAGTCACCCACAATCAGAGTTTCAGGCCCAGTCGTTAGCTTTCCCTCTAGCCTTTTACTTTTGGAGTAGCTATTGGTCCTT